CTGTTTTTTTTTTTCTCAAGCTTCCAGATGCTGTATGCAGATTGCTATATGACCCGTGAGGAGTTCTGGGATATGTTTGATGGTTCCTTATACCACAAACTGAGGGAGCAAATGAATTGCAAGGATGCCTTTCCAGAAGTGTATGACAAAATCTGCAAAGCTGCAAGGCACTGAGCCTGGATGACCTAAGCAAGCAATCAGGGAAAGATGAATTTATCTATAGCTAGTCAGTATGTCCTTTAAAAAAAAAAGCTTTATTGCTCTCCAAATAAGCTCATTCTTGTTGATGTTTAAAGGTATGAATTCCTGCTTTATAAATTTATGTTTAGTATTTCTTTGTATGTTTTGAAACCAATTTTCCAAACTCAGAGTGATTGTTTTTAAGAAATCTTAAGTGCTAGCCTTTGTATCTAATGCAGTGACATAGGTGATCTCACCTATTTCCAAGCATAAGAGAAATAATTGGAAAGGATAAAGAGTTACACCAGCTGTATACTATAGCTACGTTTAACATTACTTTTAAAAACAGCAGGGAGGGCTCAGAAATAGGTGCCAAAGCTGAATGCATTGTCGAGTTAATCACGATGTTAAAAACATTTGCCTCCGGTCGGTAACCTGCAGTAGGACAGCCTAGCGATGGTAGCGCAGTCTGCCGGCCGCGCAGCGCTGCCTGGCGTGGCGGTGTACTGCTGCTGCACTGCTCGGGTTACACTGTACTGTAATCTCAGCGGAGCAGTTCAACTCCCAAACAGTGGCTTCGGTTTCAGAACCCAGCATCGAGGTGTGAAGAAAATGCTTTTTACTTGTGCCTATCAGATTTGTACTGATTTTGATTGTAAAGTGTCAGTGGATGTAGGTTTTAGGTAGTTTGGAATTGGCTAATGGTGCATTGGGTTTTTGCCCCAAAATATCAATGTTCTGGCTTCACAGACTACTGAAAAAATTTGCTGCTATTTCATAAAATCAAGTTTTCCTTTTCAGTTTTTACTGGTTGTGGGTCAGTTTATCTGGATTTTGTTGGTTTTGAATTTTGGGGGTTTTGGTTGTTGCTTAATTTTAGTGCCTTATGAATACCCAGTTGGAGGAAGATGTGGGTTATTTCAGATCGTTCTGCCCTGGCCAGTAGGAAAAGGAAGTCAAAGCTTTATTTATCTAAGGTTTGTTAGAGCTAGGGGCTGTGAATAAGAACAACTCTTGTTGTGAGTCTTGATATACACAGGCTTTGGCTTGGACTCAAGGGACATTTTTGCTTTTCGTTTTAGCTGGATTAGATTGATAGGCTTTGTAAAAGGACTGTTTCAGTCACCTGGAGAGGAAATCAATAGTAAGTACTGTTCAGTTCCCCTTCTGCTGCTCGCTGGTGAGAACAGCACAGTCACACACTTCATAGAGTCCAAGGTAGAAGTGTGGAAATGTTTTGACCCAGTAGCCAGAAACACGGTTCCAAACCAAGCCCGTGTCTTCTCCAAGCAGTACTTCAAATTGTTACTTGAAACCTTACTGAGCTTGAGGGAAAAGAAAGTCATTTTCCTGAGACTTGTGTCAGCAGTAACACGACAAACTTTTTAGAACAGTTACCAGTGGGAGGCGTTGTAATTTTTATATGCTAAACCAATGATTTTATTTATTGATAGATGGATGTTTACGGTCCAGATGAAACCAATGATAAAGCAGTAACAAGAATAAGCTTGGCCTTTTACTCAGTGATGCGTGCTGGGCAAGTTGTGTGCAAATAAGGCACCCCGGAAAATCCCGCGCGGGGGACTGGTGGCAGGGGCAGCCGGCCGAGGGGAGACACAGCCCATGCAGAGCACCTGCAGCACTGCCCGAGCTGCAGAGCTGGGCAGGAGGGGAAGCTGTGTCAGTGATCCAGGGGTGTCTGCTGCACCCTTCCAGGCTCCGGGGTACACAGGAAGGCAGACGCTGATTCTCGGGGTGTAACCTAGCCCTCTGAGGGAAGCGGCACAAGAGCAGTTTCCTTGTCCCTGGGGCAAAGCTGCGATTCAGCCCAGTGCTTGTAAAAATAATCTGCCCAGAGCAAGGATGGGTTTGGTTAGCTTTCAAAGGGCGAAGTTAAAACAGCTAGAGGATATGCAAATACTTTTACTTAGGCTGTGTTTCTCTCACTTATGTACTGATGATCTTTAGGTATGCACTGTATTTGTTTTTTTTCATTCCTTAATTTATTGGCAAACTTTGTCTGACGTGATTGGGTACTGTAACTGTATCAGTCACACACATGCACATGCATAATTGCTGTTGCTCTTAAATTTTGGTTGTATGGGCTATTTAAAATAAAGATCTAGCCAGCCAAAGTGATGTCTCCGAATGAATGATGACTTACTTTTCAACAACTGTGTTTATCATTTCTCATGCTTACTGTATTGTTTTAAATGGTCAGCGATTACTGAGAAAAGCTGCTGTCTGCGTGAGAGACCAGAGGCATTGCGACAGGAGCCCAGTGTTTCAAACAGCTTTGAAGGAATGTCTTTGAAGCCTGTGAGTCTACCCTTATCTCTAGCCCAAGACACACCTGTACAAAACAAACACCTTCTAGCTGAGCCTTAGGCCTTCAGTTACGCCCCACTAATTCCACCTAGACTCATGATGCCAATTATCCTGATTTTTCACCCCCCCCACCTCATTCTGTCCCTGTAGCATTTTGTTCAAGGAGGACAAAACCCCGTTTTGGATTTAGGTGCTACAGCCGCTGAGATGGATAACTACTTCATTCTTCCCACTTCATGCTAATAAGTCTAATCCCTGGTTTGAATGAGCAGCCACAGAAGCAACAATGAAGATTCAGCTCACTCTTTAGCCTAAGGAGTTTCTCATCCACATCTCCTGCTTCCTTGAAAAATGCCTTCACAGCAGCTCTGTAGGCTTAGTTGGAGGTATTCCTGCTCCTCCCTTGCTCGCAGCTGCTGCATCCTCTCCCAGTGCTCTCTTCCCAGAGAGGAGCTCCCGGGCTTTCTCCTGAAATCCAGGCTGCCAAACACCCCAGCCCCAGCGCGGCCGCTGTGCGGGTGCCAGAGCCCTGCCTTCCTTTAATCTCATGCCGTGCTGGCCCCGACTGACGCTGCATTCCACAACCCTCTCTCCTTACCCCAGTGGTATTTGTGTAGCCTGTGCTCACCCACATCGCTGTTCGGGCGTTTCACCTCAGAGACCTCCTTTGCTTGCCTCTCTAGAACAATAATCAGAATTTCCTTAAATCACTGCAATTTTACCTGTGTTCAATTATCTCCCCACCAAAGGATAATTGCAGATTAATTAGCATACTTAATCAGCCACAACTAACATGTAATTACACCTAGATTTAATTATTCCAGTCTGGTCTAAACACTAGTATGAGTCTTAATAAAACTTAACTCTAAGTGAACCAGTGTACTCCCAGTACATTTTTATGGCCATCCTTTGTTACCACTGTGTGCTGGGGGAGCGGTTTGGTAACAGGGGAGGGGGCTACAGCCGTGGCCCCTGTGAGAAGCTTCTCAAAGCTCCTCCAGCTCCAAGTCAGCCCCACCTCTGGCCAAGGCCAAGCCAATTAGCAAAAGTGGCCACGCTTCTGCAATAACATAATTAAGAAGATGAACCTGAGAGGAAGGGTTGGAGTTGTGAGGAAGATGCCTGCAAATACCGAGGTCAGTGGAAGAAAGGAGGAGGAGTGTTGGGAAGTGTGCTGGAGCAGAGACCCACCCCCCTGCAGCCCATGCTGAGAGGGCAGGCTGTCCCCCTGCCACCCGTGGAGGTCACCAGTGGAGCAGATGCCCCCCTGCAGCCCGTGGAGGAGCCCACGTGGGGCAGGCGGCTGTGCCCAAAGAAGGCTGGGACTCTGCGGGAAGCTCCCACTGTCGTTCACGAAGGGCTGCAGCCTGTGGGAAGGACTCATGCCAGATGAGGTTTGTAGAGGACAGTCTCCTGTGAGGAGGGAGCAGGGGGAGAGTGTGAGGAGTCCTCACCCTGAGGAGGAAGGATGGGCAGAAACAACAGGTAACGACCTGACCGCAGCCCCCATCCCCTGCACCACTGGTGGGGTGGAGCGAAGCTCAGCCCGGGAGGAAGGGAGAGGTGTGGGGAGGTGGCTTTAGGATGTGGTAACACTTCTCCTTATCCTACTCTGGAGGATTGGTGGTGGTGGTGTTCAAACTGGACTGATGTTCTTTTTTAATTCCCTTAATGAGTCTGTCTTTTGCTGGTGGCCTCGGCTGGTGCGTCGTCCCTCCCTGTCCTTGTCTCTACCCCTGAGCCTTTTGTTATTTTCTCCTCCCCACCCCTGAGGGGGAAGGAGTGAGGATTGCACTTGATCAGCTCTGTGTTGCTCAGTTGCCCTCTGCATTCAAACCACAACACACTGATAAGCCTCTCACTCCATTTCACTTTCTCCATTGCCTCTAAGCTTTAATACATCCTACATCATTTGGGATGATGACACTAAATTCCCCCTAATTCCCTCCAGCTGCTTATAAACACTTGCACTGTTAGTCTGAGTGAAGCTGTACGTCACAGCTTGTGATGCAGACCCTTGCACACAGCTGCTTTAAAGTTGTCACAGGACAGTTACGTAGGCAGTTACAGAACACCGAACTACTCTGCTATAATTGTGCTTCCTCAGACCCAGCTCTTGCTGTAGTTGTACTGGTGGGCCTGGGAGTAACACCACCATGCCCATAACAAGTATGTGCCACTTCTTTCAGTAGCATCATTTGGAAGGAAATGTTTCATATTGCACGAGCTGTGCTCCCCAGCGGTCCTTGCTTCGCAGGACGTGCAGTATCTGGCATCCTCTTCTCCAGTGTGTCGCTTGGCCAAGGTGGAAATTATTGATTACTTGACAGAAAAGACTGCTGGTTGTCTTAGTGTTTTATTAGCACAGAACAAGGCTTAAGTTGTTTCCTATCTCTTGACTTGCATGCCAGCACGCTGTATTTTCATCTACCACGTCTCATCCACTGGCGCATCTACCGTTTATTCACTGATTTGGGCTTCCCAGCACTATCTCATGTTTGGAAAGCTGTGATTTCTTCAGAGGTATCTGGACAACATGGAGCAGAAATCAGATCACTGCAGTTGTTTTTAGCAACAGGCTTGAGACGTTCCCCGTGGAAAGAAGATGCAATTCAGTGGGCTCGAATTATTGGCTGGATTAATCTCGTTAGTCGTCTTAACGAGCATGGAGGTGAAGAGAGCTCTTAAAAGCCTGGCTATTCCCTTAAAAGCACAGCTGTAACTTGAAAAGTCATTTTGGAGCCAGCACTATTTGATCAGAGAGAGGTGTTTGAATTCCAAGTCCTGCTCACCGTTCAGATTTTTTTTTTTTTTTTGTTCCTAATGGAACTGCAAGATTAACAAAGCTGGGCAATACTGAAAGCCAGATTTCATTATGCCTCCTCCATCATAGGACAGCGAACTTCTGGCTGCCCCGCTGAAAGCTGACGAGTTACATTCAGCCAAGACCGATTTCTAACTACTCTTTGGAGATGAAGAAAGACCTTTGCAGAGCTGTCAGCCCCTAGTGCCACCGCAGCAGTTTGCTAATCTTGGCCACAAGCAAAGGTGAGAGCTGAGGGCTATCCTGAGGTCTCTCATTAGTACAGTTCCTAACTGCTTCACAGGGTTTTCACACCAGCGATTTCAAAGCCCTTTGTGGTGAAAGCAAGCCTTGTTATCTTCCTTCCTCAGATGGGTAAACCAAGGCACAGCCTGAGAAGGTGATTTTTTGTTCAGGGCCATTGAGCAGTCCAGTGCCAGCACTGGGAATGAGTCCAGGCAGCCTGATTATCCATCCACCTCCCAGTTCCTTCCCAGGCTGCCTGCTCTAACTCGATGGAAACTATTTGCCTACACCTCCGCTGCAGGCAAATTGCATTTCACAAGATACAACACCACCCACCTTGGCATCTGTGGATTGCCTTGAGAGCCAGCAGTTATTTAACCCTCCCACTACCCCTACGCAGTGGGGGAGCACGAAGGTCTCCTTGCTTTCCTGGGAGGGGAGATGAGCAGCAACACCAACCTCCCTGTCCACAGAAGAAACCTGCAGTGTGGCTGGCGAGTGTTTCTCAGTCCTGATCCAGTGCTTTAACTACACAGTCATCCCATCTCACATCAGGTGTGGTGTCAGTAACGTGCACTCAGTCTCCCCAAAGCTGCTCAAGATGATTTTCCTGTAAGCCAATGTGAAACCGTTTACGACCCTCTTGTCTGTCAGACTT